CTTGTGAGAATGGCTATAAGAGAAAGAAAAATGTTCCAATATGTGGGTTTGGCCAAGTGTTAGGGTAAAAGGCAAACACTTTAGCTGAGTAATATTTAAAAAGAAAGGGGGCATTGGGAGAAACTCCTTTGAATTGGACGTGGAGAGCTGGTTAGAAATAACAAGAGGAGGCTAAGAATGGTTCGTGCCAAGCATTGCAGAGTAAAAAAGTTCCTGAATATGAAATACATTCAGCTGAGAAGTAAACTCTGAAGGGAAGTGGAAGAAGCCCCATCATTTGAAATACCGTAACAGGAGTAGACAAAGCACTTGAAAATGCACTGCAGGGAACAGTCTTTCTTTGGCAGGGAGCAAGACTTGGATGACCTCATAGCTTCTTTCCATCTCTATTAGAATCACAGAACCCAAAGTCTTTCTCAAAGCAACAGCACAGCTGGCTTTGAAGGTTTGCCCAGTTTTGGCATCGTAACGTTGGTTACTACCACTCCACACGCTCCAGCCCCTGCAGATTCCCAAAGCAATAGTTAATAGCTCTGCTGACAAACTCTCTGATGAGTGCAAAATACTAGCAAGGTATGGAATGTATTTTGGAGAGGTTTTGTCGCTGAATGGACCAGATCTGAAAAGGAGCATAAACAAAATTTGCAGTTTCATTTAAGATAGTTGGTCAGAAAGACATTGTTAATGTATTTCAGTATCCCCTTTGCTGCACAGTGATTGCAGTGCCCAGTTAGTTATAGTTTGCCAGTTTTCATTCTAAAGTCAGATTTCAGTCCTACTTTTCTATAGTGTTCAATTTAAGAGAGATGAAATCGGTCCAGTGTATTAAATCGTAACAAGGAAAAAAGTTTTAGCACATGCTGGTGTTGTAGCTGCATTCCTTATTAAATCCCAGTAGCCAGACTTTGAAACATAGGCAGCTTTCTCAATATGCAGCTCCTGTTAGATTTTTTTTAAGAAAAGAAGACTAATTCTTAGGAACAAGTGAAAAAAAATCTGAAAGTTACACTCTCCTATGTTACAGTATGTAAAGACTACAGACTCGTGTATTGTCATTGCTTATAGCTTTGTAACAGTGCAACCATTCTTAAACATCTGCCTCTTCCCTCCAGTGAGACATTTTGGTGGGAGAGAAGCTCTGTGTCTGCCCTACATTGGGTCACTCATTTCTGTTTTCCCTCTCAGCTTGGCTGCAAACCACCAGAAGGTGCAAATGTAGCTTTCCCGCCCCAGGGCAGCATTTTTCTCCCATCCACTTGATTTTCAGGCTCTTTGCCCAGGCTGGCTCTACTGCCATGATCTCCTCTGCTCTTCCCAGCAAGACTCGAAGGCAGCAGAAAGCAGCGGGAAGGCTCTGTGCTCGCTTTGTAAGATGCTGTTTTCACTCCCAACAAAAAATGGCTGGAGCACCGCAGAGAAACAGGACTTGTCCTTTCTAGACCTCTGCTGTCTGGGAGCACATTAGGATTATTTGGGAATGTGGAGAAGGTTTACCAACATTGTCCTAAGAAGACTTTATTCTCAAAGGGTCAGATGGGCCCTGTGCTCTGCCTTTTTGCCTTTCCTGCCAGACCAGCCTTGATAGCAATACTGCTCACTCGAGAGGGAAGCAAAGAAGTTTTCAATCATGTCTGTGTTTGTCAGTGGAAAAATGGAAATCTCTTGGGGAAGAGTGGGAACAATTGAATTTATTTTATGCTGAGGCACAGCAAAACTCATTTTAAATATTATTACCTAATGTCTGTAATTTATTCACAGTACTAGTCCCAGTAGAGTTAGTAAGACTATTACGCACTGAAAATTAAGTATGCACATAGGAGTTGGAAACATCAGAATGTAATGTTTTACTTCACTTTTTGTAAATCTCTTTGTGGCACAATATCTTTTATTATTTCAGCGCTGTTAAGAGGCTTAACAGCATGTTCCCAAATGGATTGTGAGCTTAGCAGAAACTTTTTAAGAAGGAACCCAAGTTCCTGAGCGCTAACAGGGCCCTCACAGAAAACCTCCAGGAAGTGCCGTTTCTATGTTTAGTGTACTGCCGTGATAACTCTGGAGGGATGTGAGGCAGAAAGCACAGAGTGGGTAGAGGTTTAACACAATTGGAAACTGAGAAATTGCGCCTTCTGGATCATCATGTGCTAAAAAATCAGACAAGGTTAAAGGAAATAGGTGGAGAAGGGAACTAGAAGAATATGCTAGTGATAATAAGAACAAGGTGGGAAGCACAGATGCTGAAAGCAATGAGGAAAGAGATTTTCAGATTTATGAATGTTGATTCATTTCCAGTAGTCTCCTCATTGACTATTGAATGTATAGCTTTTTTTATGTGATTTCTGCTAGGCCTGGAGTTCAGCAACACTTCACTGAGGCATGTCTTAATTAACTGGATTGAGCAAAGGCCAGCAGTATCTCTGGGCAGCCGGACAGCTCTGACATACACTTTTCCTGCCCCAGAGGTTTTTTACTACTGTTATCCAGAGTGAATTCTTTTTAAACCAATCTTAAATTCAAATAAAGTACTTCCTGACCTTTGTCACACCATCATTCTTAGCAATGCTTATGGCTCAAGTTTTTTAAATTGTCTCTTTTTAGAATTTTTTCTACTTGACAAATGTTGGTAAATAATCAATAGGATCACTCTGTCTGTTAAAGGATATACAAAGTGGTTCGAATGATGATCAGTTCTTCTAAAAACAGCTACCTGTCTGCAAGTAGATACCTAAAGGTTGGAGATTTCAATTAAAAGAACTCAATTAAAAGCATTTTCTGTTTCTGCTAACATAGGTTTTACAGAACAAAGACATATATAAAAAGGCAGAACACAGGCATTATTAACAACTGCTTTTTGCTATATTTGATTCTGTTTCCATATGCAGTTATTTGTAAAGCCTTTGCTGCATACTTCTAAATACCTATGATTTGGCTTGCCATTTGAACAACAACAAAGTGTGACATATGTAGACATACCTTAATAGAGTAACATTAATTTAGCCTTGCATGTACACCTTGCAGTGAGGCTCCTGTGGCCTGGCTTTCTGCTGCCCCATATCTGTCTCCCTCGTTGAACAGATGGATATTGTAGCTTCTTTGCTTTTGCCGTGAATCCAGTGGTAGTCGTACTGCTCTTCGGCTGGTGGGAGGCTCAACAGTGTGTGCCCCTGTAACACAACAGAGGTTTAAGAGGGCAATACAGTGTAACACAAGGACAGTATGACATCAAAGGTAACACGCAGAAGTGGTAATTAGTGCTTCAGGTTCTGTCTGGGAGTTCTGTGGCAGTTGAACAAACGTTGGAAGGTGGTTCCTGTTATGCACCTTGCAGGAGAGCAGGTCATGTTGCAGATGCCTAACGGTGTCTGCTCCAGGCAGCGCCCCTTGTGGGGCACTTAACGTGCTGTGCCTCTCTTGGAAAAAAAGTCTGAAATTGCTGGGTTATTTGTGTTGTACCTCTTGCTGTTAGTGCAAGGAACTGATGTGCAATGCTTCAGGGCTTAGCCCTGCCCCATTCATCAGCGTTGAGAGACTTCCCAGAACCACAGATCAAACACTGTTCTCTTTTCCTGCCTTGACCTCGACAGTCCCAGCTTTTATAGAAGACTTTGAAGTAAAGAAATGGTAAAAAAAAAAAAACCAAATGGAAAAAAGATACCTTTTTCCATCTCCTTTATGTTTAGGGTCTGAACTTGCCAAAGCTTTGTTCTTCTCCAAAGGGACCTCTAGCTGAGGTCTCTGTGCCTCATCCCTCCTTTCCCAAATGGAGCACTGCGGTACTCTGTCTATAAAAAGACTGTTGCAAAACAGTCCCAAGAAGATCTATTGTGACTGCTTCTAACAGATTGCAGTTTATGATCAGTTTAACCAGATCCAGTTCTCCACCCGTCTACTCCTAACTATGTCTTCCTCTCTTCCAGTGTTTCATCTTTACCTTTCGCAGGGTTGGTTTTTAGGCAACTTGTGCTGGGGCTTTTTTCTAATCACAGAGCTGAGGGGAGGGAAGAGGTAAGAACAGCTCTTTTGCCAGAAGTCCGGATTTAGCTTGGTTAAGTGGATTATGAAAACTGTTGAGGAGTGGGAAGTTTTAAGGTTTTCATGGGCTGTTAGAACTTTCAAGTTATCTCAC